GCTGTCGCGAAAGGACGCCGCCAATCAAATATGATCAAAGTAAGAGGGAACGGGCGCCAACACCTCTCTCTGAGTTGCGGCGGGCCGGCGGCGGCGCCGCTTCAGGCGACATTGGGCGCCCGGCGGGCGCAGACGCGTTTTCGCCGCGGCTCCTCGGGACTCGTCCGCTTCGCTTCTGGGCTCGAGGTGGACGCAAAGTTGTTTCCGGCAACCCACCAAATGAGAGCGTCACTGTGGCGGGCGGCCATTTTGTCTGTGCCTGTGTGTGGGAGGGTGTTTTTGTGTGCGTGCGTCTCCATGTTTTACTGTGTTTGTGCTTTTTGCTTGCGTGTATTTGTTTGCGTTTGCTCCAAGATATATTGATTTTTGTGTTTGGCTGTGTTGTTCGTTTGTTTTTCACGTGCTTTTGTGTACATTGGTTCTTGCGTAATCGTCTGCGTTTATTTGGACGCTAATTGTTAGTCCGCGTGTGTCAATTTGTGTGCGTCCGTGTTTGCATGTTTCTGGACTTTTGTCTGCGTTTGTCGTCTGTCCGAACCCTTGGAATTAGCAGCCTCTCAACAGTTAAGTCGACTTCAATTTCTGACGTCCAGCAGAAAACCTTTTTCTTTTTTTTTTTTTGATACTTTTACTTTGGAAAACATCAACCAACGCTTGTGCAGATTTTCTGCCAGGTGACTTTCTAAGCGTCCTCCACCTCTTCGTGTTTGTCTACTCTGCATGCCACTTTGGCATTTCCTGACCCTTTCCACGGGTGTCCTTCAATTTGGCACATCTCAATGTCTTGAGACGTCCTACGGCAGCGCCTAATTGACGCCTGACTTCTCCGGCGCGTCTCCTTCGACGGACTTTCAGTGCGGGTGGACGGACGACCTCTTCATCATCCTCATCATGCTCACCTTCAGGCCTGCTGACATTGTGCGCGCGAGCGCGCGCGTGTTTGTCGTGTAGCTTTGCGCGAGGAAGAGCTCAAAAACACATCCGTCCGTCCCTCCGTCAGGTTCCGTTTAAGGAGCCCGTGGACGACTTACGTCTTTGTCGTAGCGCGCGCACACGGACGCACAGGCGGCCTTCCTTCCCGGTGTCTCTGGAGACGCGTCCTGGCCGGTGGGGTGGGGGTCGGGGGTCCTCAAATCCTCGTTCGTTCGCTCTCTCGTTCTCGTCGTTGCGAGGGCCTCGTCAAGCCTTGTTTTGGTTCCGCTAACTACCGAGCGCCGCAGAAGCTCCGACCAGATGGGCTGTGACGCAGCGCGCATGCGCACACGTTTTCGCGGGGCGCCTCGCTATTGTGTGCGTGCGAGAGTGTTGGAGGGGCGAAATGTTCCCCACGCATCGCGAGAACATGGAAAGGATCGCTGCCGCCCACAATTTTTTTTTTTTTCCCAGCTGTTGAAAAATGATCTCCATTTCTTTCACGGTGACGTCTCGATAATAACGAAGAATGGATTTTTTTTTTTTTTTTTTTGCTGCTTCACAATGATATTCAAACAACATACAGTCGCACAATGACCAATCCGACCCTTTTTTATTGCCATTGTTTTGTAGCGATGCACATCCACTAGCCCCGTTTCCCCTCAGCTTTTCTCTTTCGTCATTTCGAATGGAGCTTTCTATTCTTTGTGTTCGTGGAGATCGAGGAGTCAAGCAAGAATTTCATGGCTCTCGGCTGCCGTTGCTTTTTGGAGTGTGGAGAGTCGGCGTGTATACGCAGAGTGAATCGTTTTCTTTTTTTTCACGAAAGAAAACAGAGGGCAGAGGGAAGTGGAAGAACATCCGACGATCAGATGATGATTTGGTCACTCTGCTTCCTCCAAGCTGAACGACGACAAAGTGCCGACGTCATTCCACAAACAAGACAAGAACCTCCTGCAAAGTACGAAGTTGCCGGACCGCTCGTACATCAGAGAAACCCCCGATGGCCAAAGTTGCGTACGCAGACTTTGGATTGACGTCGTGTCCATTTGTGGAATATTTGGACGCTCTCCTCTCCGCAAACGGGAACTTGAGGCGTCACCATGGCAACAGCAGAGCGGCGTGGAAACCACAGACGGGAAGTGTTCTTATCGGTCCGGACGGTGACGTGAAAACAGGAAACGGGACGAATACTTTCCACATGCCCGCCCCCCCCCCCCCGCTGCGTGCACTGGACCGCGTTAGGCGCACTACCCAGCATGCGTTGCAACATTCGCTGATGGCCATTCTCGTGACACGCGCGGGAGAACCGACGACTCCTCAAAGGAACTCCTCTCCTCTCCTCTCCTCGACGCGGAGCAACGCGGGCGCCTCTGGGCCGCATCAGACTTCGCCTCGAACGAGACGCGTGGCCTCGGTCGTCCAGAAGGGGAAAAAAAGAGAAAGAAAAAGGAGTACAAAGGAGAATCTTTTGAAATTTGAGAGACACAAATGATAGACCGCGGTGTCGCAGAGTAGTCATGAACTCCAAAAAGCAGGAAAAAGAACAACGCGAGTGGTAAGAAGAACCTGCATTTGAGAAAAACAAAAAAACAACCTTTCTTTGGGGTTCTCAAGAGCAAAGCGAGAAAAAGAGAGAAGGTGACGATCGGGGAGAAGGAGGAGCTGCTGGAGGAGAACAATGAAGCGGTGGGGGGCTCCGCTCTTGGTCTGGCTGCTGTGGTCCGTCTTCGCCGCGTCGTCTTCGTCGTCTCCTGGTCCCGCCGAAGAATGTTCCGGCATGTCCATGCGTGAGTTGCCTCCTCTTCCCTCCCGTTTTGCACCATCCTTTTCGCCCAAACTCAAACATACCTCCGAGCAAGCCACCGGAAACTTGGCTCCCCAGTGCCGAGACGGAAGACGTCCGGTCTGGTCTGCGCCGGGGGCGCATTCTGCTCTTTGCGGGGCGAGACGAGGACGCCTTTTGAACTCGGAAGGTCCCGACAAAGCTGCGCGTTGGGGCTCGTCTAAACGTCGACGCGCCTTCCAGTCTCCGCCGATCCGCATACCGAGATGGGCTCTGCCGGTCGCAGGTCCGGATCTCGGCGTGTCCAGAGTCACAAACGCGTTCTGATCAAGTTGGAGATAGCAGGATGGTTTGGACACATCCCGAGGAAAGATGGCGACGACACATGCCCCTTGCTTAGCAAATTGACGGGGCTGCCAGTAAGCTCGCTCGCTCGAGGAAGAACGAAGAGAAGCTGGATGGGCTGCAGCGTGAAAGAGAGAGAGAGATTTACGACCGGCGTTCTGTCGATCGCGGCGTTGCTCGCGCGGAGGCCGAACCGGAACTCAACTCGCTCTGTGTTACGCGGCGCTTTGAAACTTTCGTTTGACTGAACCGGCCGTTTCGGTGGTCTGCGCAGGTCTCCGGGCCTTCCGGCTGAAGGTGTCGTGCAACGCGAGCGCTCTGAACGACAAACAGCTGAAGGAGATCCAGGCCCCGACCACCACCTTGTACCTACCGGGGCTCTACCTCCTGGCCTTGGCGCTGGGTCTGCCGGCCAACCTGCTGGCCCTCTGGATCCTGGCCTTCAGAACCAAGCGCCTCCCGTCCACCGTGCTGCTCATCAACCTGACGGCGGTGGACTCTCTGCTGCTGCTGGCGCTGCCCTTCCGCATCGCGTACCACTTCCGAGGGAGCCACTGGGACCTGGGCGAGGCCCTCTGCCGCACGGTCACGGCCGTCTTCTACGGGAACATGTACGGGTCGGTGCTGTGCCTGGCGCTGGTGGCCCTGGACCGTTACGTGGCCTTGGCGCACCCGTTCGGCGCCAAGACCCTGCGCGGCCGGCGGACGTCGCTGCAAATGACGGCGGCGGTGTGGGGGGCGGTGGCGGCGGCCATGTTGCCGCTGCTGCTGTCGCAGCAGACGTACGCGCTGGACCGGCCCCGCATCACCACCTGCCACGACGCGCTGCCCCAGCGGGAGCAGGAGACCTTCTTCCTGCCCTACTTCGCCACCCTCTTCACGCTGGGCTTCCTGCTGCCCTTCGTCGTCATCGTGTTCTGCCACTGCGGCGTCCTGCGCGCGCTGCTGGCCGAGGGCGAGCGCTACGCCCACGCCGTGCGGGTCACGCTGCTGGTGCTGCTGGTGTTCGTGGTCTGCGTGCTGCCCAGCAACATCCTGCTCCTCCTCACCTACGCGGCCGACGGCGACGGCCTCGGCGAGGACGTCTACGTGCCGTACATGCTCAGCTTGGCCCTGAGCACCTTCAGCAGCTGCGCCGACCCTTTCATCTTCTACTACGTGTCGGCCGATTTCAGGGAGAAGGCCAAAGGCGCGCTCTGCTGCCGGGGCGGCGCTCCGCCGCCGGACAGAGCGCCGAACAAAGCGTCCTACTCCTCGTCCGGGCCCAGGACAAAAGTCACCCTGTTGTCTGTCTCCACGCGGAACTCCGCCAGGACCTGAATGTCGTCGTGCCGCCGAGCTCGTACGTTCACACCAGACAATGAGTGGCTCGCAGTACTTGAGAGCACGTGACCTCATCCACTCGCCACCTCAACGCAGCCCAAGATGGCAAAGTCCGCGACTGCCTCGTCCGTAGAGGCTCCGCTCATGTCAAAGATGACCGCGGACTTCCTTCGGAACCTCCCTCACATCCACAGCGACAATTTCATCAAAGGCATAACAGAACAGCGTCACTTTGTGGACATTGCTCGTTAAACACCTGAACATGTTTACCACCATTTTACATTTTGCTTCAACGCCTGTGTTATGTCAATTAAGATGTTTCTTGCACGCAAAAAGGTGTACATTAAAAAAAGATCGTTGCTTCTGTTTAGCCTCTTTTCTGACACTTATTCTACTGTCGCATCTCAGAGTCAACATTGTCATTGCACGCGCGCACACACACACAACATTTCCTCCTTTGGCTCTAAAACCAACGCTCAGGTGGTATGAGAAGTGAAATTCCTGACCTGCTACATGTAGAAAATTGCCTTGAAATAACTTGTGTTATGACTTGAATCATTAATATTGACTGACAATGACCCATGTACACGCCCATACACAATTTAGCCTACCACTGAATCAAAAACGTTGCTGTAATATTGTGAATAAGTACGGAAACTTGGACTTGAATAGTTCGCAATCGCTTTTGAGTGTCTGCCACATTCTGTTGTGTCAAAACACTTCAAGTCTCGCTGTATGGTAAACGGAATAATCACAGTCAAGCTCTTTGAGCATTTACATGAAAATGTTGATTGTTGAAAAAGAGTTGAGGCGTGTCAGTTCTCACTTCTAAGTGAAGGAAAGCCACACACACACTCAACAAGACACGACGTTTCGAATACCGCTCCAACATGTCGGCATCGGTGCCGCGCCGCATCCCAAGCACGTGACTTTGTGGGGATTGCTCCTCCAGTCCGCGAGGTGCCGCTGCGACTGCGAGCTGATTCGGCGCATCCACAGACAGACAACCGGGACACGTGCGAGCGCAACGCCAGAATGTTGTCTCGCTTAAAAGCCAAAGTGGGCTCGGTTCTGCTGCCGGGAGACGAGTTCTGTTTGGACACGACCGGCGCCGACACCATCTCGCTGGCGGGCCCCTCCAAGGCGAACAAGGTGGTTTGCGGGCCCGGGCTGCGGCGCTCCGGTGACCGCCTGCTGGTGTATAAAAGCGGGCTCCTGCGACACAAGGAGCCCAACATGTTCTGGATGGACGCCCAGCACAAAAGGGTGACGAGCAATACACAACACGCGCCACAAATGTAGCCCATTGCCAATCTTCCGCGTCTGAATTTTAGCCAGGAGAGTGAGGCGGCGTGTCGACGTCATCGACAGGCGACAACTGCGAGGGCGAACGCGAATGGAGGAGAAAATTGTTGATTGATTGTTTCGGTTCATTCCAGAAGAGTAACGATGTTGCGGGGATTTGGTCAGAAGGGTATTCGCATCTGAACACGGCGAATCAAAGTGGGCAGAGACGCGTTTTTAGCAACGTCATGTGGAAAATCACGACAAAAACTGATTCGAATATTATTTGGCCGCGTCGAACCGCTAGAAAGAACAGAATTCCGCTACAGTTAAGATTTAAACTATGTTTAACACCTAACAGCTACTAGGGCATGGTGATGTTACCGACGCGTACTATAGAGGGCTCCGTCCTTTTAGCAATTATACTGTTATAAACAAGCCATACACGAATTCGTGTATGGCTTGTTTGTAACAGCCCTCCAATATGGCCGCCGGTAGTGCATTGTGGGTAATTGCTAAAAGGACGGAGCCCTCGATTTGAAAGGAGCTCCGTTTCCTCAGAGGAACAAACTCTTGTCAAGCATGCTGGGAGCCGAGTGTGAGTATACGTTTGTGTGTGTGTGCGTGTTCAGTACGTTCCCGCCAAAGGAGAGACGGTAATCGGCATCGTGACGTCTAAATCCGGCGACGTGTTCAAGGTGGACATCGGTGGAAGCGAACAGGCGTCTTTATCGTATTTGGCCTTCGAAGGCGCCACCAAGAGGAACCGACCCAATGTCCAGGTGCGTTTGTGCCAGGTGGAAGAGGTGCCGTGCCGCCAACGCCGCCCACTGACTGGACATCTGTGTGAACCAACCCCGCCCCCGACTCTGCCTGCTTTAGGTGGGCGACCTGCTGTTTGCGCAACTGATCGTAGCTAATAAGGACATGGAGGCGGAGCTGGTGTGTGTTGACAGCGCGGGCCGGGCCAACGGGCTTGTTTGTAACAGCCCTCCAATATGGCCGCCGGTAGTGCATTGTGGGTAATTGCTAAAAGGACGGAGCCCTCGATTTGAAAGGAGCTCCGTTTCCTCAGAGGAACAAACTCTTGTCAAGCATGCTGGGAGCCGAGTGTGAGTATACGTTTGTGTGTGTGTGCGTGTTCAGTACGTTCCCGCCAAAGGAGAGACGGTAATCGGCATCGTGACGTCTAAATCCGGCGACGTGTTCAAGGTGGACATCGGTGGAAGCGAACAGGCGTCTTTATCGTATTTGGCCTTCGAAGGCGCCACCAAGAGGAACCGACCCAATGTCCAGGTGCGTTTGTGCCAGGTGGAAGAGGTGCCGTGCCGCCAACGCCGCCCACTGACTGGACATCTGTGTGAACCAACCCCGCCCCCGACTCTGCCTGCTTTAGGTGGGCGACCTGCTGTTTGCGCAACTGATCGTAGCTAATAAGGACATGGAGGCGGAGCTGGTGTGTGTTGACAGCGCGGGCCGGGCCAACGGGATGGGAGTGTTTGGAGCGGGCGGTCTCCTTTTCAGAGTCTCGCTGGGTCTCGCCAGGCGGTATGTGCGCACTCTTCCTACAGGGTGATTGAAAGCATCTCGAGATTTGAAATAGGGAGTTACTTTTCACTCACCGCCTCGAGCGGACCAAGATGGTTCCAAAGACGTCCACTGAAAAGGAGTGATTGGGGAGTGGTGAATGAGTGACCGATTCTGGAAGGCAGGAATCATGTTTTTCGGAATCGCTCGCGACTCGCCAATCATGACTTTTTTTCCATTTACCATTGCTGCCCCTGTATAAAGTATGCCCCCCTGTCCCCCATCCCAGGTTGTTGGCCCCCCAGAGTGATCTGCGGGCGGAGCTGGAGCAGCTGTTCCCGTGCGAGATGGTGGTGGGGATGAACGGTCGGCTGTGGGTCAAGTCAACCGGCGTCCAGCGGACACTGGTCTTGGCCAACCTGCTGGAGAGTTGCGAGAACCTGACGCCTGTGCAGAGGCGCCAGCTCTTTGGCAAGCTAGCCCAGGGGGCGCTCTAGAGACGGGAATTCAAATGGGGGCGCCCATCACGCGGACCCAAGGATTCGTGGGGTGCTGGGGAGGAGTGCAGAGTGGCACCTTGCTGTGTGATGGTTTTGTTTTTGTTTTGTTTTTTTTTTCAGAGAGATGTCGTTTGACTGATACTTGATATGTTTATATATTGTTGATGTAAAAGTGTAGCTACGTTTGTTTTTTTTTAAAATTTAATATCATGTGGTGAATGTTTTTTTATAAAGTCCAACATTACAAAGTGCTATGGTTCTTAATAAAAAATAAAAAAAAACACATTACAAACATTTATTTAGTCGGCTGGAACTAATTATTCGCATTTGAAAGTCGTGAAAGATGATTCACGATTGTGGTTATGAGATAAAATCAAGATAGCGCTATTCATTATCGTCATACCGTTAATAACGGCCCAAGTCGTATTTTGACCAAAAACCGTTCACACTTTATTAGAATTTGGAGTGATCAATAAAATCCTAGCATGCATGTTTTTGGGAATGTGCGAGGAAACATCGAGCACTACAACATTGTGTCAAGTGTTGCCCACTCACCATCCATGGCACCTTGCCCAGCCTCCCATCTGCGGCCTCTTCTCAAGGTATCTCATTTTTGATGTTTTTTTTTTCTCTTTTGACTTGCCCTCCGACCCACGCAGAGCTCATGCATGGAGCTCATGGGAAGGCCAAAGCCCAGAATTGAATCCTTGACCTCTGTACTTTGAAGCGGATGTGTTAAGCAGTCGGCAACCGTGCTGTCGAGCCGTGATCGGCGGTTGGAAAATGCCATCATGGGGATGAAGACGCGTTGCACCAGAGTTAAGTACTCAAAAATTTGAATTTTTTTGTTCCCGCTGATCCAAATTCCGATATTTGGCAGCAAAAAAGACCAATGTCGGAGTATACTGGACCATGCGCTCTTTGTTCACGCCTACTTTCAACTGGAACAAGACTTGTGCCGCGACTGACGACTTTTCACGAGATCACCACGACTAAGCACGCCAATTGAGAAATGGCTGAATGGAGTCAGAGCTCCATCTAGTGGACAAACGGTGGAAGGACAACAGGAAACTGACCAGCATTTCCTCTGGAGGAGGTAAAACTGTATTGGCGTGATGATTATTTTAAAAAGGGGTAACCGGAACAACAGCCGAACTAGCAGAACTTGGGCGAGCGCTTGATGACATAAAAGCTGCCAGGGGTTTTATTTTGTTCAGAAAGAAACATTGCGCTGCGTTCATTTGAGCGATTTGTTGGGTGAGCTTGCGTGGTCACCAACTTACCGTAAATGTTCTGTTCAAAAACAATGCTGTCCATTTTCTTCAATAAACATTTATTTTCAAACAGGTTAAGAAAAATAGATTTTTTTTTTGTTTTGTTTTTACACCATTTTGTCTTTTTGCTTCCCCCACATTAGTTTTGCACCTTTTGTGCGGCAGCAAAGCATTGTGGGTAGCACGGCACCCCCCTGCAGCCACAAGCAAGCAGACATCACGACATTAACGCGACATAACACACCAGCGGCATGGCGGCCAATCGAGCCGACGCGCCCACACTCCATTGGGCGGAGACGCCGCAGCCATCTTGCGCATGACGTGACGGCGTTCGGTCACATGACGTGCTTCTGGATGCCCGGCGTGAACTCCTTGGCGTTGGGGTTCAGGACGCTCGGGATGTTGGTCTGCAAGGCCACGACAAACGCTCAAGTCAGACATCGCCCTCCGCTGGGGGGGGGAAAAAACCCCCCAAAACCCCCAAAGCCACAACCCGCCCCCCCGGGGGGGGGGGGGGGAGCACAAATACTCCTGCCACTTGAGACGCTCCACTTGCGAGCTCCCCAGATTTTGAGCTGCCGTTCACCTTTTTTTTTTTTCCTTCCCCCGCTGACTTGTGAGTGCAAATTGGAGGTATGGGTGCTTTTTGGTGGCACTGAACTCAACTCATTTTACAACACATTTGTCAGATAGTCCAGCTAAAAATGAGCATCTATGCTGCTGTCCTTGAACACTTCAAGCAACAGGACACGTGCCCCTGCAGTCTGAAGAGATGCCAGGATCTCGGTGGGATTCATCAAAACGCCATTGTGCGCAGGATATTTATCTGTCTGTCCTCTACTGCCACCAGGTGGCCTAGGCAGCAAGGTGCTAAAAAAAAATCATTGAATTATTTTGAAGATGACGCGCCGACAGGCGGCCCAGCCGATGATCCAGTGGTTAGCGAGTCGACCTCACAGTGCAGGGGTACTGGGTTCAATTCCAGTTCCGGCCTCCCTGTGTGGAGTTTGCATGTTCTCCCCGGGCCCGCGTGGCTTTTCTCTGGGTACTCCGGTTTCCCCCCCCCCCCACATTCCGAAGACATGCATGACAGGTTGATTGAACACTTCAAATTGTCCCGAGGTGTGAGTGTGAGCGCGGATGGTTGTTCGTCTCCGTGTGCCCTGCGATGGGCTGGCAACCGGTTGAGGGTGTCCCCCGCCTACCGCCCGAAGACAGCTGGGACAGGCTCCAGCACCCCCGCGACCCTTGTGAGGATCAAGCGGATCGGAAAATGGATGGATGGATGGATGTCCCGACACGTACAACTGGGCGTCTTTTTTCTCAAAACAAAATTTTTATTTCGGGGGGGCTGCAACGAATTCCTGCCATTTTTTTCTTCATGATTCAGATGATTTGGACGCTGAGCGTTGTGAGCTGCGAGTGTAGTTCAACTGGTATCTCAAGGTGCCAGTGCATGTGCATCACAATTGAGGGGCTTCCTTTCTAGCTCCGCAAAGTCATCATTGAAGTTTGGAGACCCATAATAACATCTTAACTCCTCTGAGATTATCAGTACAGCACTAATCTCAGATGAATATAGTGCTGCGAGTACTGTTGCAGAATCATTTGTGTCTGGGCCGTCGCTGAAAGGGTTCAAGACAGCGCTGCAACACAGATGCTAATTAGTGTTCGGATCAAGTTAGTGGGGAATGGCTAGAAAAAGCATGACTAAGGTTCGTTTTGGAGGAATTGTTGACAAGTTGTCAAGTCTGTTGAGTTGACTTCACTGCCAGCAGACAGGACTCAAGTTTGGTTGGCCTCACGAGCCAAAGCAAAGCAATAAATAAAAATATCCCAATGACGACTCACATCTCCCAAAAGAGACGCGAGTCAGGTCAGACGGAAAACAAATGTGACTGTCTCACCGTCGGTCGATCCGCCCTCTGGCCGCGGGCGTCCGGCAGGTCTCTGGCCGGGACGAACCACTCCGACGCCTCCTCCTCATCCAGCATCTCCTGGAAGCAGCGCTCCATGAAGTCCTCTTCCCACAGCTCCTCCTCCACCTTGGTGGCATCAGAGCCCACAAACAATCAGCGGGCGGCGGCCGACGCCACGTCACGCCGGGGCGGCTCACCCTCACCTGCCTGTTGAACTCCTCCTCGTGCTCCATCCACATGTACTCGGCGAAGGGGTCGGAATTCGGCGGGCCGCTTTGCACGCTCGGGGCGCCTTCGCCGCCGGCGACGGCCTGACTTAGCCTCGGGTCTTTCATGGCGCCGCTCCTGAGAAGGGCACAGGTGGCACAAATGCAGCGGGGCCTTGAGACACGAACGCAATTGATTCCGTCGTCATCAATATCGGGACACGCCGATGTGCCCTTTACGTCCTCTTTCGGTCGGGAATATCTTGCTTCTCCGGATGATGGTTGCTGCTATCCCACCCTTTTTTTCTGATTTCCATCAAGATCTCAACCGCAGTCAACCTGACCTCGTGCATCATCGTTCAATTGCGCCGCATCGTTCGACATCATTTTCCAAAATCTCGTTCTTGCACCGTTAATTCTATAGGTAATTCCAGACAACAACCTTTTATTTCTTGATTTTGCTCTTAAATATATTTCCCTGTTTTGTTTGTACATACTTTTGAATGTTGTACAGTGTTGTAAATGCGCTATTTAAATAAAGCTGCCTTAGCTAGTCAATAAGGAATAAAAGTGCAGCTGTATCTTGATGAATCCTGTATGGGGAAGAGGAGAAAAAAAGAGGTCGCCAAACGAATCAATACTAGAGTAGAAATAGCTGAAAAGAAATCTGCGTAAGAACAGCGACGAACTATTTGCAATTGATTACAGCGCGACAAACATCGTCGTGTGACGCCCCAACAGCGCGTCGGTGGGATCAGATGACCTTTGTTAAGTCCCCAAAACGACTTGGTTGGTGTGTCCTTACCACGAATCTCGGACGGTGCTTTGTGTCGCGCTCAGGACTGTAATGGCCGCCAGGTTCTTGTTTGTTTACCAGGCCGACGTCACGTGCTGCTCGCTGGGATTGGCTCAAATCGCGATGGGGCCTTCACGTACCGGCCGGCCAACGAAAAGAATGCGGAGGAGCGTCGGAAAAAAGAGAACTCAAGTTCAACCGAGCCGGGCAAAACCAAGTCTGCGACGCCAAGGAGGCGTCTGAGTTTTTCGGAGGCCTGGCATTCTCTTGAATTCGTCGTTTGAATTTTTTTTTATTATTCTCTCGCGTTTCCCTTTTCTATTTTATATCTGGCATATTTGTTTATTTATTAGGAGCGGTATTTACTGAGATGCGCTTCAGACCGAAGTCAAGGCCGCCTATGACGTCACTGACGAGGGGAGGACATATCGCGAGAGTTTGGGTGGTGGCTTTGGCATATTTCGCAGCTCTCAAAACAGGCAGGCGACACAAAGACGGGTAGGAATGCTTGAGCGTTCACATTTCATGCTTTCGACTTCGAGCATCTAGCTGCACGTTACGTTTCTAGGGTTGCATTGATCGAAGAACATTTATGCCGTTAGCGTTAGCTTTCGTGGCTAACAGGCGTTATTCCCCACGAGCTAATGCTAACGTTAGCTCTGGCGAGGCTCCGACGTTCCCTTGAATTTCTTCTCTTTTCCACTATTGTGCATTTGAACGCGGAAGCGAAGACTTGTCCGCGGCCTAAGTGCCGCAGCGACCTCGAGCGCGCGCCTCGCACGCCCGCTTAATGTCAACACATCGGAGCTGTTCGCACTTCTGCCAAACGATCGCTAGCACGTCTGCTTCCACGTTCGAACGCGTCGGTCGACCCCGAGTCGCCTTGATGCGCATCCGGCGCGGTTGGACCGATCGATCCATCGTCTCCGTTGATTATTGTCCACCAAGATGTTCTCGCTTTGTACCGAAGCGACTCCCTGACCACGTGACCCTCCTTTTCTCCTCCCCGCTTCGGTTGTCTGCGGAGGACGTTTGTATGCCCGTTGTCGTCCTCACGCTCGTGTTGCCGCGGCCAGCCCGGGGGCGGCCGCGAATGCGGGCACGAGCGAAGACCACAATGTCTGCTTGTCCTTCACTGTCTTTCAGGGCTCCGCTTTGCCTCTTTGCTCCAGACTTGCCTTGGCGCCGGACGCCTCTTGAACTTGTTCTCGTCGTCTTTGACCTGCGATGGAGGGCCCTCCGAAAGGCTTCGCGGCTGGGCGGGGCCACCTGGCCGCCGCGGCCGCGGCCCTCGAGTCCTTAAGCTTCGGCATGAACGAGCAGCGGCCCGTGCGCCCTATGGGGGGCGGCGGCGGCGGCCGCGAAGGAGAAGGTGCCGACGACCAGGAGAGCGGCTCTCACGTGCCCCGCGGCGGTGGCCATCTTGGCGGCACAATGAAGCTTTTCGCCAGCTTGGGGCTGTCACCCTCCGATCTGGACGTTCTGGCTCAGATCCCCGAGGAGGACATCAGCGTGGAGACGCTCCCGCAAATCCTCCTGCAGCTCAAGAACCGCAAGGCGGGCCGGGGGCCCTCCTCCGGCTGGGACGACGGGGGCAGGATGGGCGGCGGCGCCTCTTTCTCTCAGGCTTCGGGCTCATCGGACTTTGGCTTCGCTTCCGCCGGCCGCGCCGCCGCCGCCGACTTGAATTTTGGCGGGGGCCGAGAGAGGTCGTACGGGGAGCTTTCGCACCGCGATTCCTATGGCGGTCCGCAGGGGGCTTCGCTGTCCCAGGCCGCCTTCTCGCAGCGCAGGAAGGGCTCCCCGTCGCTCGGAAAAGTCCAAGACTTCTTGGGAGCCGCGCCCCCACGCTTCCCACACGTGTGCTCTCTTTGTGACTTTGATGTACATTCTAACTTGGTGAGTAAAGCCACGTCTCCCTCCCACCGTCATCTTCTCGTCACACGGGACCGCTGTGTCGCCCGTCCTCCATGTTGGTCTTCTTGCCGTCAAGGATGCTTTCCTTTTTGATCTTGCACACGTAACGATAAAGGACACTTTTGGACACGGACGCACACGAACACACGCAGGGTGGGGGCGGGGGACACTGGAGTGCGGTTCGGTTGACGTTGCGATGTGAGTGTGGGCTGATTTTGTGTGCGCGTGTCTAGGAGTGGACCCAACACACAAACGGACTTCGACATGCTGAGAACAGGCGTGTGCTCGTCTCCATGTGAGTCGCACACGCGCACACACACACACACACACACACACACACACACACACACACACACGCGCCGGCTTCGGTCGACTTTGGCTTAACGACCGCCGTCTCCTTGTGGTGACCTTCCTTGCAGGTACCCCGAGTGGGATATCGGCGGGGTTCCCGGCAGAAGGTAACCATCGCATGAACCCGTATGGGGGCTGCGGGTCCACCCGAGGTGTAGGACCGTGACCACTGGCCAACATCTTTTCTGGAATGTTCCAAACAAACACGGAAGGCGCGCTTGGAACGATTCTAAATTCCAAACACATTCGGGAACAAAGCAATTGGCGACTGACGTGCCTTTGTGCTATTGAGTCGAGTCTTTAGTCGGGCTTGACCGATAATCTGCGCTCCTTTTTGGCATTCGGACGAATGTCAGGCAGCCCTTCCCCTCCCCAAATCCGATACGCAAGAATAGATCAATTTAAAACGAGCAGGGAGCCATTTATGTTTCCAGTTAGCCTTTCAAAGAAGTTGCTGCCTATGGGAACTTGCTGCACATTTGATTACAATTTTAATTGGGGGGGGGGGGGCATATCTGAGAAGATGCCTCATAAAGTTAAACGCGTTGAAATGAAGGGAAGCATTGGATTTGTATCGTTCAAATTTTGATGGCAAAAGTTGCCCCTTTACTCCAAATCTTGCCTCCGAATTGCTGCGTCAGCTCGATTGTGCAGTCAAATGTGAATTTCAAACCTATTCGTTTCTGCATTTGTCAGTACTGCAGTGAAACGGAGAGGAAATCAACTTATTGTGGGGCCCCAAATGTTCTGCTCACCATTGTAAAAAACAAAGTTTGGGTGCGGAGCCCCCTGTGTGTTTGTGGCCTTTTGCCATGTTGACGTGGTCTGCGTTTCAGCGGCATCATGGAGTCCACCAACCTGTCAGCAGGGCTTCTGGGGCCCGCCCCGGCGCCCAGGATGCCGTCCGGTTGGGGTGAGAAGCGCCTCCTTTCGGACAGAAGTCGCATGATGGCGCCCAACAGTCCTTTTTTTGTGTCGTTGTGTGCGTGTCAGGATCGGGACCGGGTTTGGGTCTTGGCATGTCCAGGCAGAACCACTCAGAACCCAACGTGGTCAGTTTCTTCTGTAATGTTGACGGTCCTTAGTGATGATGTGATGAAAACGTTGAGCTTTCCCCACAGTTGAGGAGCAGGGTGGTGGTGGTCAAATACGACAGGAAGCCACTCAGCGTCAAGACTTTGTTCTCCTTTGCCGAACCTTTCGGGCGTCTGCAGGAGCACCTGGTCCTCAAGACCAAGGTATGTTTCGTTTGTTTTTTTTAGCTCACCTTACCTGTAGGCGGTGCTAGTGTGCAGTCACAAAGACCAGCGGGGCGTCCGCATCTCGTGGTTGGCGTCCGCAGGCGTTTCTGGAGATGGAGACGCACGAGGAGGCGATGGACATGGTCAACTACTACCAGCAGAACCCGGCGACGCTCTATGGGAAATCGATCACCTTCTACCTGTCCAGGCGGCTGATTGTCATCCAGGTGACATCGCCGCCGCCGCGACACGACACGACACGCCTGCCTCGGCTTGAAAGTCTGACGCGGCGTCTTTTGTGACCCCGGCAGAAGGAAGAGCGGGCGTCGGACCGAGCGTCCTGGGACGGCCCGCGTCGCAGCAGCCAGGTGGTCTTCTTCTCCAACTTACCCAGGGAAGAAGACAAGAAGAAGGAGCTGCTGACGGTCGCCGCTCGCTTCGGCGACGTGGAGAAACATCTCTTTTTGACGGACCAGGTGACGCGCCGCCCCGCTTCCAAAGTTACAGTCCGGGAGGAAGTGTTCCCAAGTGGTCATTTTTGCGAAGTCGAGCTTTTCTTGACGTCCGACTGGGGAGGATGGTCAACCTCAGCCATATCGTCTTCCCGGCCACACTCATGCCGCCGTCCGTCTTCACCAGGCCTTCATCCAGTTGGGGAGACCCGAGGACGCCGAGATGATGGTCAAGTACCACACGCTCAATCCGCTCACCATCAAAGGACGAGCCGTCCGCCTCAACATCTGCACAAAGTACAAGACCCTCAAGTGAGTCCACGTCGCACTCGTCATGGCAACGGCGCCGGAACTCCAGCTTCGCCACCTTCTGCTTCGCCACAGCATCAACCGCAGACAGAAGGAAGCGGGCGGAGGGAGCGGTCGGACAGCCGCAGCCAAGAAAAGGTCGTCCCGATCCCGCTCGCCTTCCGGGAGCCGGGACGGGGAGGGAGGAGCCAAATCGGCTTCGGAGGGCGAGGCGGCGGACGACGACGACGAGGGAGTGGCGGGGGTGCAGGAGGGGGAGGAGGGTCGGAGCGCCACGGGTGCGGACAAGGACGATGAACCCAGCGAGCCGCCCGGGGGAGGCCAGGACGGCGCTCAGAATGAGGTGACGGGAAAAACACTCGGGCCTTGTGGAGAATTGTTCTCAAGGAGACGTCGTCACAGGCTCGCCATGATCACGGGGATGGCGGCGACAAGGGCGGCGATGCCAAGGATGGCGGCGCAGACGCGGGTGGTGCCGGGCGGCGGGGGGCGGAGGAGCGGCCGACCCAAGCGGCGAGCGCCGTCGAGCAGGCGACGGGGGAGGTAACGTGCCCGCGTGACACGCGACGTTAAAAAGCGGCGACATCTCCGATGAGCTTCTTGTGCGGTCAGGGTGACGACTTCCTGGAAAACATGGAGGACTTTGTGACACTGGACGAGCTCCCCGAGGAGGACGAGAAGGAGGCGGCGACAGATGAAGGAGCGTCGGACGGCACCGGTAAGCCGCCCGCCGCGGGAGCGCTGGCGTTCACGTGCCGATGGCACGATGACGATGCTCCGTCTTCTTTCCCGCAGACACATCCAGGAAGGGGGTACGTATCTCCAAGCCGGCAAAGCGTCAAACGACCAATGACCCGAGCGCCCGAAGCCAAAGAGCGACTGGAGTGACGCGCGAGCTTTTCCTCCCGCCAGGGGCTGCGGGTGGTCAACGTCCTGGGCTTCAGACGAGGCTACAAATTCCTGGACGAACTGCTGGGGCTGGCCACGCCCTTCGGGAAGGTGGTAAAGCATCTGGTCCTGGACTGGAGGCCCGAGGTAGCGCGCCCGCCGCCGAGTCGCGGGCCGGCGCCACGTTTTGACTCGGCCGCTCTCTGTTTCCCCCGTCAGGCGTTCCTACAGTTTGCCACGGAGGAGGAAGCGCGGGCGATGGTCAAGTTCTACAACGGCAACGTCACGCCGTCGGTGTGCGGGCGCCCGGTGAGGGTCAACCACTCTTTGACCTACCCGACCATCCAGGTGAGGGGGCGACCTCGTCGGCGTAGCGACGGGCCGGCGTCGGGCTGACCGCACTCCCTCCCTTCCTGTGGTCGCAGTGCGGCGCCAGCAGGGTGGTGTATGTCGGCCAGCTGCCCAACGGCACGTTCGAGGACGAGGACGTCCTCAAATTGGCCGAGCCCTTTGGCAAAGTCAAAAAGTACTTCCTGAACCCCATCAAGAGGGAGGTACGCGGCTCGCCCGACCGACCGTCTGCGTCCGGACTGCCGCGCCGCAAGGTTCCGTTGTCGTTTGGGATGTGCAGTGTTTCCTGGAGATGGAGAAGGCCGAGGCGGCAGACCAAATGGCTCAAGCGTACAAAACCAACCAGGCGAAGTTGAAGGGTCGACGTCTTCTCATTTACGTCAGCAGGAAGTACACGCAGCTCAAATACGGGTGAGCTCCTTCGCTCGGACCGCCGGGAAAAGTCGACTTGCCGGTGGACGGAGCTCCCGTTTGCCTCGTATGACTTTCGCCGTGTCCCTGCGCGTGCAGACATAGCTGTCCCAGCACTACCAAGAGGGGGCCGAGCAGCTCGTCTCCAAAGTCCTCCAAACCTTCTGAAGAACCTCCGGCCAAGAAAATGAAGGAGAACGAGGAGCACCCGGAGGAAACGGAGGAGCCAAAAGAAGAGGTCAAACGCCAGGAGGAGGAAGAGCAGCCAAAGGCAGTCAAGCAGGAAGAAGAGCAGCCAAAGTCAGCCAAAGAGGAAGAGGAGGAGCAGCCGAGGCCGCAACAGGAAAAAGCCATCAAAGAGGAGGACGACGACGATGACGACAACGAGGAGGAGGAGGAGAACAAACCCGAGGAGAAGCTTGAAGACAAACAAAAGAAACCTGAAGATGGGGAGGAGCGGATGGAACCTCGGGAGGAAGAGGGCAAGCCGAGCTTGGATGTGAAGATGGAAGCGGACAGCCCAGAGAAGATTCCCGACGTTCCAGATCGCCAGGTAGTGACTTTGGTCAGCGCGGCCGCGCCGTCCGCCGATTCATTTTTTTTCTTTGTTTTGATGACGTAGCCGACTGAGGAGGAGCCGTCGGCCGATCGAAGCCCCGCCCCGCCCGCCGCGGCGTCTTTGCCGCTGCCGCCGTTTGAACCCGACCGAGCCATCGGTGAGCGAGCGGTGCCGAAGCGGTGCCGAAGCCTTCCCGCTAGGGCGCTCTCCGCCGCTGAAGCTTCTGCTGCGCTTTGTGCAGGTGTGGAACACATCAAGATGGGTTACTACTGCCGCGTCTGTCTCCTCTTTTACTCCAACGAGGACACGGCCAAGAAGACGCACTGCAGCAGCCGGACGCACTACGACAAGCTGCAGGTGAGGCTGCGCGGCGTGCCGCAAAAAGGGCCAGGATGTCACCCGCTTGATGTTTGCGCTTTCAGAAACATCTGGAGAAGGAAGGAAGCAGAGGCGGAAAGAAGCGAGCCGACAAGACCAGCGCGTGACTTGCTCTTCACGGCAGCCGGTTTTCTTTCTCTTTCGATGGTGACCCTAAAGAGTGGCGCACGTTAGCTTGTTGTCGTGTCACGGGACGGGGCCGCTCTCATCCGATCCGTTGGCAGACTTAAGTTAGCTTGTTTGAAGAAATAAACGTTTTTAGTCACGTCACGTTTATTGGCAAAGTAAAAAGTCAGCTCCAAGTTGTCTCTCGGGTCGCCAATTTCATCTTCTCCTGAAATGACAACGCTGCGTTTGAAGGACCCAAACGATCGGCGGGCGGGCGGGCGGACGACCCGGTCTTCGGTTGGACTTGCTCACCCGATACTTGAAGTGGTGCTGGCGGCTGCTGCAGTGGCGCACTTTGGCTTCGTCCTCATCGGCGTAGATCACTTGACACAAGTTGCAGAAGTAGCCGACGACCGGACGCACAAACTCGGTTCCTGTGAGCAACGAGCCGACGTGAAGGCAACGCGCCGGCGAGTCCCGCCCGGGGGGGCGACCGCTTACCGACAGGCCGGAGGGGTGTCGCGGGCGTACCCGAGGTTCCGCGGGCTTCCTGCAAAAGCGCGACAGTCATCAAAATGGCCCCCCGTGGCGACGCGGGCGGCGGGCGCACCTGATTCTTGTCGCTCTCAGCAGACGTTTGGCTTCTTTGCTCTTCCTTTTGGATCGTTCCACGCACGCAAGCGTCCTCGGGAGACGCGCTTCCCTCGAGCGTCTCGGCCGAGTTGTCTTCCTGCCTGGAGTCGCCGCCTCCGGGATCTTTGGCGGACACCCGTTGTGGCACCTTTGAAAAGAGCACGTCGTCGGCAGCCTTTCCGGCCTCCGAATCCCATTGGCCGCTCTTTCTGGATTTGGACTCCCTCTGCGGAGAGTTTCTTATTTGCGGCTCACTCTCTTCCTTTCTTCTCTTCCGGGCCTTGGACTCGTCTCGCAAAGTGTGCCGGCCTTCCGTCTCACCGCCTTCCGGTTTGACCTCGGCCGTCTTTCCCCCTTGCGATGCCGCTTCCGGAGTCGCGCCGTCGTCCGACTGGATGTCCGGTGACTTCCCGGCTTCGGATTTATTCTGTGGCGCCTTCTCGTCGTTTGACTGGCCACCGCGGGCGTTCCCGTCTTGGGTTGTATTCTTCCCAGCGTCTGACGCGACAGAAGGAGCCTTGCCGCTTCCCGGCCCGTCCCGAGCGTTCCCCCAGTTGGAGTGAGACGAGGACAAAACGTCTGCAGAGTTCCTGGTCGCATCGTCCCTTTCCGGAGTCTCCCGAGCTTTTTTTCCTTTCCCTTGCTCTGATTTGGATGAAGCCTTGCTTCCGGCTTTGGACTCCTCTTTGTCTTCGCTACTCCTACGCTCGCTCCGGGAGTTACGCCGCCGTCGGTGCTCGCCGCTCTCGTCTCGGGGAACCGCCAAGCTGCGAACGGGGACAAGTTAGCGCCGCCGGTCTGGGCTGACGAGACTCTTGTGAGCAGACAAAGATGCCGACCCGTTGAGGAGGCGTCGATATTTGTTGATCAGCACAAGGGTTTGAGTTTGCCGGCGCAAACTTAACAGACGCCCGCCGCAAGCTTCCGAACCTGCGGCGCCGCTCTGCTCCCGCCCCGCTTTGTCCAACGTCACGCCGTCCTCCGAGAACGCCTCCTGTGACCAGAGGCAAGAAGAAGCGCTTCAGAGACGGCAACGTGCGACGTCGAGCCCAGCGCGCGCGCGCGCTCGTTTCCACCTCATCCGACGCCTCCTCCGCTGCGTTGCCGGGACGTCGTCCTTCGCCACACTTGCCGCCATCTGCCCCTAAAAACACATTCCGCGCGCCCCGTTTGGGCAAGGCAACTGTTGTTGGTATGGCACACACGAGGAAAAGAAATGACCCCCCCGACCCCCAAAAAAAAAGTGCCACAAAGGAGAGAATGAAACAACACCGTCAAGCGACAAAAGCCACGATCGAGTTCAAGTCGCAGATTAAGACGCTGAAAAGGAGAAACGCGAGTTTGGATTGAGGAAGAAGCCAAAGCGCATCAAGTTGGCGCCACATTTTGGACCAGACGCTGCTGGGAGGAGCCAAGAGGTCAACGTGTCGTCATGGGACAAACCGCGAGAGCTCCCCGTTTCCTTCCGCGTCGTCTTCGTGTGAACGGCCGCCTGCTACGCTACCGCACGCTTTGGGACGTGACGTCACAACTCGAGAAAATGGCTGCATCTCAGCTCTTCTCAATTGGACCAGGCGGGATTATCTTCTGCCGCCGCGCAGCATGCGGCGCCACGCGTGCTCAAGAAGGGGAGCGCGTCTCGGACGTCGGCATTCGGCGAGGCCCGCTCGCCCCACGTAAGGGTGGGGAGACTATTTTGCAGTTTGAAGACATGCGCGTTGCCTTTGGTGCAACGGTCAACGGGAGTGAAGCGAGCACGCCCAACAATTTGCACTTTTCCCAAGAGGCTGAGCGGTACATTCACCTGGGAGCGGTCCGCCCGCCGGTTCGACTTGCCGTTGGTCCCCCTCGGGCATTCGCTCCTCCGCTTCCTCCTCCGTTTCCAGATCGTCGTCCTCCAGGTCCTCGCCTAAGACCGCCATTCCCTCGATGTCGCTGCCGTCCCGCTCGGAGCTGGAAGGGCGCACGGGGGCGAGCGCGTTAAACCGCCGCCGTCTTCATCAAGAGCGGCGGCGCCGCGGACATCAATGGCGGCGGCGTACTCTGCGTCCACGTCGCTCCGCTCTCGCTCGCCGCCGCCGGAAGCTGCCGACAAAAAGGTCATTCGGCGGGATCGACGGCCGCTTCTTCAGTCTCCGACCGACGGCGGGTCCTCGGTCTCTTTTCTTACCGGTGGCCTCGGGCTTCTCCGCGTCCGCCGTTAGGGCATCGGAGCGACAGGTTTTCTCCCGGGACCTGGACCGGGCCTCCCTATCTCCGGACGGCGACCCGGTCTCGCTTTTGCGGGAATTCGACCCGGCCCTCCCGTCGCCGGACCCGCCCTCGCGGCCTTCCGCCCTCCTCTCCTTGGACTCCTCCGGCACGCTGTCTTCGTCTCCGCCCCCCGTCCTCTCGGTCGATTCTTCCCGGTAGCGTCGGGCTGACGCGGCGCTCCTGGAAGCGGACGGAAGGTAACTGAGTCGAGCCGGGCGGACGAGGCGCGGCGGCCGCCCTCACCTGAGAGTGGAGGTTTCTGCTGCAAAGGAAACCCGCAGGACTTTGTCGTTGAGCCTCAGGTTGGCGCAGGAATAATAATTGACCAACTTTTCGGCATCTTCCAGACTTTTCATTTCGACGCACGCCTGAAGAGATTCGGGGCAGGCGACGTCGGCGCGTGCGGCAGGACGGGACGCGGCGAAGGCGCGCTCACCTTGGATCGGCGGAAGAGCGTGTAGACGGGCGCGCCGAAGCGTTTGACGACGGCGAGGAGGTCCGACTTGTCGTCGTCGGATTGCGGAGGCGGCGTGAAGCTGACCACGCGAGAGCTCTGGACGAACAAACAAAGCAGCGAAGATGACCGGCGGCGGCGAGGCGGCCGTCGGGACGGCGGCGAGGCGCACCTTGGCGAAGCTAAAGGTGCTGGAGATGCTGAAGTCCAGCCGCCGACCGTTCGCGGTCGGGGGACGCCGCTTGTGGAACTTGACCAGCTCCTGCGCCTGCTCGGCAGATTCCAACTCCACAAAGGCCTGCCGACGACAGAGAGCTTCTCGTCAACCTTCCGCCGGACACGCAAGAAAGCGACACGGAGGCGGCTGCTCTCAAGTCTTTGCCCTCCGCTTTCAAGCCAAGTTACGGTGCCCAAAACCAAGGCGGTCGGTCGAGTCGTGACTGGGCCGAAGCGAGTCGCACGAGCTGACGCGGGCACGACAGATCTTCACCCAGAAGCCAATTTGGACCCCCTCCATTGACTCGCGCTCCTTGGCTTTTTGACGCGACGGTCCCAAGCCACGGGCCCGGTGCCTCGGCTTCAGCAGAGCTCGGCGACGGTGGCGAAGATGCGGGGCGGCGAGCGGCCTTCGCGCGGACTCACGAGCGATGGAAACATGAGGATCCCGGTGACGGTCCCGAAGGGCTCCGTCAGGTTGCGCAGGTGCGGCTCGTCCACCGAGCCGGCGGCAAACTTGACGCATGCCACTTTGCCTGTCTGAGCGAGCTGAAAGGCAAGCGGGGGCACGTTGGGACGCGGCGACGCCTCCAAACGCGAGCGGGCGACAATCTGGGGGGCTTACCTTCCTCTCGGCGCTCGTTGCGGGCTGCGACCCTGGCGGACGGCAAGAGCGACAAGTCAAACCGAGTCAAGCCGCTCGAGGCTTGCCCACTTACTCCCGCTGTCGTCGGTCCGCCGGAGAGGCCCCCCGTCTTTGCCCGTCCTCCGCTCCGACTGTCGGTCGGCTCTTCAATGACAACGCTCGCGTTAGCGCCGCTAACCGTGTCTGTTCGCTTCTCGGGCCGCCCGCCGCACTGACCTGTCGAGCGTCTCCATGCGGCAGTCCCACGCGGGAAAGCTGAGGACGGACGGACGGCGGTGTCCAAACGGAGCGATGAGAGGCGGGAAGCAGGCGCCGATGTGACAAAAGGCGTGAGCGCGCACTGGAAGGGAGACTCACCGCTGCAGCAGGCCCAGTTGTCCGTCGGCATGTCGGCTGCTGTTGATGTGCGCGGTCCAGTTCTGAAACAAAACGCATACGCCTTGACGGCGGCGTCTCGGACGAGCGCGTTCTGCCAGCGCCCCCAATGAGGCCCCGCGGACCGGACCGTCGGCCGACTTACCGCCGCCGACATAACGCAGGCATTACACAGAGAACACGAGGTCGGGTACGTCTGCGGTTCCGCGCCGTGGAAGTCCCGCGCTTCCTGTTTGGACGGCGTCGCGGCGCTGGCAAGCTGGCCGGAAGAGGCCTCGGGGTGACCTCGTTTCGACCCGGATCCCCATCGGCCCTCGGCCCGAGGCGCCGAGGGCCCGTCGGCTTGGCCGGGCCGGGGCGGGGAGAGGAGGGAGGAAACGCTCGCCGCAAAGTTTCTTGTTGATAGCGAGGGAGGGTCGCGGCTGGCGGAGGTTAGGGCGCGGGGGAGCGCAGTGCCGCTTCGGGGATTCCGCCGGTGATCTGGCCCGTCATGAACCCGCTCTGCAGGAGCGAGGAACGCCAAGGGGGCGGGCTCCAAACCGCAGCCGCTCAGGATGCCGAGGGCGCTCTCCGCCGAACCGCAGTAGCCGTGGCGGGCCGGTGATCCGGAAGGCCGCCGGGGGCCCGGACCGGGTCGGAGGCCGGTGTCGAAAGGAGGCGTTCGCCGGCACCCGCGGCGAGACATTGCGGGACGCTGCGGAAACAAACGGCGGGGGAGAAGGTGAACACGGGACAGGTTCGGTGAGGAAGTCTCAGCGAGAAGACAAGACGGTCTGGAAGGTCCCGCTGGATGACGCGCATCAAATATTGCCGTGGCAAATCATCACGGCAGTCGGGGGAAGCATCGCGCTTGATGAGATCACATCTCACCGAGTCGACAGCGATGAAGAGCTGCTTGCGACCGGCCTCTTTTGACCCAAAGCGGAGAACAGCGGTATCCGTGACAACAGTGTTTCCTGAAAACGCTCACGCTTGCCAAGGACGCGTCCGGACTTCATGTTTGTCGGCTGAATAAGATTGAGCCAGAACAGCAAACTTTCGTCTGATTTGGTGTCAGAACAACAACAAACTTGCGCTTTCAAGTGCACGTGACGTGTATTCGTCAGGAGATCTGCAAAGTGACACAGCAGCGGCAAAAGGAGCTGCGTAGCTCTCGCAAATCCAAGCAGGTGGCTACTCGAGAAGCGAGGTGGTGGAGACAGTACTTGCGCCCCCCCACACACACACACACACAGACAGCCGCAAAATCGCCGTGAATGCAACTCGGTGTGCAAGTGGTTGAAATGCTGATGCTAGCATGGTTAGCTGAGCGAGCTAACAGTCCTGAACATGAAAACAAATTTACCTCTAAAGAGTCAACAGCGGCCGAGCTCACGCAGTCATGACGGAGTCAATCAAAGTGGCGCTTCGATAGGAACTTGAACCGCAAGACGAGCGAAAAACGTCCCAATATGTTCACTGAAAGCAAAATGTATCAAGAAAGAAAGAAAAAGGAGACAATCCACCGGACCGTCCTCCTTCTTCTTCTTCGCCTGACTTCAACGTGAGGAGCTGAGCCACTTCGTTCCTTTGGCGGTCGTTTGGCGCCCCCTAGCTGGTCAGGAGGAACGAGCGGGATCAACCACCAAGCGCGCGAAGATCAAGGCGACGGCCGTCGCGTGTCGTTTCATTCGAAATAAAACGCTTGTGGAGGCTCTCAGTCGTACAGGAAAGTTCCATCGTAGAAAGGGTTCTGTCAGTCGTCATCTGTACCTGTGGGTAAAAAACAAAAAACAAAAAACAAAACAAAAAAACAAAAAAGGACGTTTCGCTTCTCTCACAGAAGCTTCGTCAGCGGTAGACAACCCTGAAGTCTCCGTGAAGACTCCGGGAAGTTGCTCTGCGCTAAAAGGCTGAGCGGAAGACAGAAGACTGAAGACTGAAGACTGAAGACAGAAGACTGAAGACTGAAGACTGAAGACAACCAGGTGGCGCTCAACGACTTGTTCATGGGTGGAACTATTCCCGATGAGTTTTTCACGCGCATCGATTTATTCGCGGACTCGTTTGATCCGAGGGTAAAATTGGAGTGGCTTTTTTTTGCTTTTCCTGGACAGGCGGCTGTTGATCACTTTGCCGCGTCAATACATTTTATTTTGAAGTGTCAGTTGTTCAGTCGCAAACCTTCAGTTCGTGATGACAAGTCAGGCAGCGTACGTTGAAAAGTTGCAAAATTTGTGTCGAGGAGTGAATCAATCAACTGCAACCCTTTATTTTGAAGCGTTATTTCATTTAAAAGTGTATCAAATGAATCAAACAGTCGTTATGATTTGCGAAGGTCTGCGAACAAACCTTGATTCTGACGTGTCAATTAAGAGTTGTCGCAGAGTGGCAATCAATCGACAGGTGTAGTCGTTCCAAACTTGAATTTGGAAGCGTCCATAAACACATGTCAAACGTTGACTTGGAACCGTCAAAGGAAAAGTTGCAAACGTTTATTCCAAAGTGTCAATTACGCTGAAGAAAAACATCAATGGAAAACTTTTGCTTTGCGCGACGTTTCTATTTTTTGCGAGATGAACTCTTGACGTTTTTTTTGGGATGCACCAAAGATGTTTTGACACGAAACCTGCATAAGGCAAGAAATGAAGGCGCTGATGGATCCTCCAGCAGGCATTTATACGCGCGTGTGCCAGCCGGTTCAGCCCGCTCTGCATGGACATCCCCAAAAGTATTTGGAAGAGGGGCGGATGTTTGCTTTGAAGGAACGCGTGAAACGCCGCCCTTTGTTTTGCGGGCCTGAAGTGGCGCCGTCACGCCAAAACAGGGACCGAGGACCTTTTGACGTCATCGGTGTCAAACTGCGGTCCCGGAGGGCCGCCGTCGCGCGTGTTTTCCGAGTCTCCCCGTTGCGACGCGCCCCATTCAAATGAACGGGTTCGACGTCGGGCTGCCGCAGAGCTTGCCGATGATCTGATCATTTCAATCGGATGG